TCCAAGTTCCTACTTTGGCCCTGCTAGCTGTGTGAACAGGAAGATTACCTAACCTTATAAATCCCTGTGTCATCACAATAACACCTACCTCAAAGAGTTATTGAGTGGACAAAGTGTCATGTTTGAAACCATGTTTAGCATTTATTGTACGCATTACTAGGTAGCAAGTATAGAAAGACGAGTAATAGGAAGTGAGATTAGATTAAGAGATAGGGATTGGTAATAAAAATTCTATAATTAGTTATAATTTTTATTTTTGTGTTACCTCTACTTTAAAAATTTTATATTTTCTCTGAAAGCTGTAAACTGATATATTTAAAATTATTCTTGATGAATATTGCTTTAATGATCTCCTTCCTGATAGATTCTTTAATCCACATTTTACTTACTTTACCTTTTGAATTTATCTTCCCTTCATTTAATAATGTGTTTGGGGATGGGAACAGAATGCAAGACTCAATGTATGATCATCTCAAAAACCAATGTTGTAACATTCAAAGAAGAGGGACTACTTCAATCATTTTCATTTTTATAGAACAGTAAAATATGTGATTTGGATGCACCACTTTTTTTATTAGATGTTTTTGTTTGCTTTCACACAACAAGTTTATCTTCGAGGACCCTCAAGGGAACACTGCCTGCCAAGGGAGTATATAAGATGGAAATAGCAAAACAACAAAAATAACCAAAAAAAAAAAAAGTAAGAAAACTGGTAAGAAAAATATTTAATACCATTTATAGCTGAAACTAGACTATCTGGGACTTTCCCTCAACCAATGGCAAATAATAGATATTACTAAAAAAAAAAATCCCAACAACCTCTTTGAAAACATAAATACTAACCAATAGTGTTGCTACATTTTTCTACCTAAACGCTTTTATTACATGGAGACACACCCCAAGTGAACATTCTTAGAATCCACAGTAAATATTGATTTTTAAAAAACCTTCCATGACCAAGAAAAGAGTCCATGTAATTCAATTATCAACCAAAAAAAACCCAACTTTTCTTCTATATTAAAATGCACTGGACATGCACAGTGCTATTTATTATCTTGGAAGTAGCTCTGTCTGAACTAGCAATCAAAAGCTTTGGGTTCTAATCTTCAAAATGCATTATATTCAAAGGTATTCAAAAAATACTCAAGCCCTTCTGATATGCTCTATAACTGTGCTCAGAGACATGACAAAAAAATTTTCTGGCTCGGTAACCAATACTTTTATTTAAATGCTTCTGAATTAGATTGCTAAGGTTGCTATAACAAAGTACCACACAGTAGGTGACTTGTACTTTTAGAGGTTACAGGTTTGAACTCAGGCTATCAGCACGGTTGGTTCCCTCTCAAAACTTCAAGGGAGGGAACTGTCACAAGCATCTCTCCTTGGTTTATAGATGTCCATCTCCTTGCTATATCTCTTCACACTGTCTTTCCTCTAGGTCTCTTATAAGGATATTAATCATATTAGACTAGGGACCCACTCTCCTTCAGTATAAACCCATCTTAACTATTACATCTGCAATGACTGCTTTTCTAAATAACAGTATAGGCTGAGGAACTGAGGATTAGGATTTCAACATCTGATTTGGGGGAGAGGGACACCTGCCTCAGCTTTTAACAGCTTCCATTTCTCATTTATAAAGTCAGGACTTTTTTTATCCATTCATCTATTAAAGGGCATCTAAGTTGGTTCCACAGTTAAGCTATTGTGAATTGTGTTTCTATAAATATTGATGTGGCTGTGTCCCTGTAGTATGCTGTTTTTAAGTCATTTGGGATTTAAAAAAAAAGTGGCATATATACACAATGGAGTATTACTCAGTAATAAAAGAGAATAAAAATCATGGCATTTGCAGGTAAATGGATGGAGTTTGAGAAGATAATGCTAAGTGAAGTTAGCCAATCCCAAAAAAACCAAATGCCGAATGTTTTCTTTGATATAAGGAGGTTCATTCATTGTGGGGTTGGGAGGGGGAGCATGGGAGGAATACACAAACTCTGGATAGGGCAGAGGGGTTGGAGGAAAAGAAAGGGAGCATGGGGTTATTAATGATGGTGGAATGTGATGATCATTATTATCCAAAGTACAGGTATGAAGACATGAATTGGTGTGAATATACTGTGTATACAATCAGAGATATGAAAGATTGTGCTCTATATGTGTAATAAAAATTGTAATGCATTCCACTGTCATATATAAATAAAAAGAAAAAATAAAAATAAATAAAGCCAGGACAAAGGCATCTTTTAAGGTACCTTGCTTCCTTTGCTTTTAGAAAACATTTACATTTACCCTTCTAGGCAATAGGTATTCCACATTGAGTTAAGTGCTTTCAGGATCACACAGCCTACTCAGGCGTCACTAATCTTTTGATTCTCAGAGCAAAACATAGTATTAGGCATATAGTATCTGATGATTAGCAAAAAAAAAAAAAAAGAAGAAGAAGAAGGAAGAA